ATAATAATATTGGTAATTATTTAGGCCCCGATATTGGAGGGGCATAGCAACCCAACCTCTGAAGTCTCAGCGACCCTTCGGCAATGCTGACCTCCCACGCTCGCTTGCACAGGCTAGCAGACGAAGCGCGAGGTTTAGGGTTTAGGGTTATGGCTGTGTCATGGAGTCAGGAGTGTGTGGTGTTAAGGCGGCCTTGGGCAAGTCTCTGAATCACTTATTCCAAGGAGTAATTCAGCGACAACGTGAAGCTGAGCTTTGGGGCCGACCCCTTCAAAAGTCAACACTGCCCGCTTTATCTTGCTTTCAACTCGTGAGCCCTCGCGTGGCTCATGATTTCCACAAACATGTGCTTTGCATTCTTCCCTAAGGTTTAAGGTTGCAACTTAAAGTTTTAGGGTGCTGTGACAATTCGAGGCGTTCTCGCAGAGCTTGGACTTCTATCACACAATCTTGGTGCAACACTGTTTCACAAACAGTGGGCGCATCCCTCGCAACAGATCACTTTAGCCTCTGCAATTACATGCAAAGCATGAATGTCGACACGGCACCGAAGAGCTCGACGGAGAGGTTTCCTCGGTGACCAAGGCGGTGCTTGCCCAGGGTTCGAGTGCTTGAGCTTATATGTCTGGGATCTAAGTACCTAGTGTGCTTACCCAAACCGCAATAGTAATTCCTACGATAGAAACCCTACTTCCTACTATCATATGTACTTAGGACCCTTGCGGTCAAGCCCCAGTCCTGCAATCGACGAGACTTCACCCAACTCTCCGCACTTCCAGTCTGTGGTTTGATGTTAACTTCGCTTTAATAACCCTCCCCCCCCCCCCCCTCTAGATAGATTTCCGCCCCAATCGGGGGGGGGTTGACTATTGACGGGGTCCGGTTGGGGGGGATTGTTTCGGAGCACGGTTGTCTCTCTAAAGGCTTCCCTCCGGAGCATTTTGGGGATTTCGCCTCCAACGACCGGAGCGCGTCTCTGTCGCCCCGCTCGCGCGTCCCTCTCCTCTCTAGTCGTCTCTAGATAGGTTCATTCTTGAGTTCCTGCGGTTGAGTATAATTGAGTTCCGGAGATCGGGTTGTATAATTGAGGGGGGATTATAGACGCCAAGTGAACATTAGGAGTTTTGGGGTTTTGGGTCTAGGGACTTCGAAGTGGATGCCTCGAAAATATCTCTGCATCACCTACATGCCCGCACTCACAATGAGAAACTTGCAATTCGATTCGCTTCATCACCGATGCAAACACATGAAGAATAAAAACGACCTAAGCCCCAAACCTTAAACACAACATAGCTTTGGGAGCGAAGCCAAACACTACTGGCAAACACTTAGATCCCACATGGAATTTTAAGTATCTATTTGGTGCTCATTCTAGAACCGAGTTGGTGTACTCACATATACGCAGAAACCTCCCGAGTTCCTTTTTGATTGTCAGTTTTAGTCTTAGTCTTATCATCTCTTACTTCCTAGACCCGAAGCCCGAATTGTCTTCGCTTTGGGTTTCATGGCGAGCGCTCCACACCCAAGCCCAACTCCTGAACCGCAAGCACCCAGCCGAAAGGTTGAGGATGTGAGATCAGGGTTTGAAAGTCCCCAGCAACACTGCGCAATCCAGAAACCTAAACCCTGCCCTACCCCTGAGCCATGCTCATGCGTCAATAACCCGAAACCGTCAAGAAGTGTCCAAAACCCACCGATCATCCCCAAACCCTATCGAACCACCCCAGACTGCCTAAATCAGCACAACAATCCCCAAAAACCTCGAAAATATCCTCCGCCGGGCGTCGGTCCATGAAGAATTGCCTGAGATCGGCCTCACAGATGGCTCAAGCCCAAGGGGTCTAACATAGGGGCCTTAACTATTAGAATAGGGTTTTTGGGTATATAATGCTGTAACTATAAGGAACCCCCAAAATAGTCTTGGTAATTGTTTAGGCCCCAATATTATACGGGCTCTAGAAGGTTGCACAAAGGTTCTATGCGGTTTAGACACAGGCTCCATGAGAGTTCGACGGTTCAATAAGGGTCTGACGGCGGTCTTGTTTGCAGTGATGCAGTTGGGCATTTCACGGGGTTCGTGTTGAAGCTTTTTTGCTTAGTAATGTCCTTTATCCAGATGCCGACTAAGCATGGTAACAGTTAATAATGAGAACAATCAGCAGAGTACGAAGTAGACAACTAAGACAAATGGCGTGTTGAGCCCTAGAGTGCCCTAGAGTCCTTAAACCCTGAACCCTTATCTTAAACCCTAAGCCCCAAGCCCCAAAACCTGCCAGCCAAAAACCTACAGCTCTGGCAACTGCCGGCTCTTGTTCTTAGCTGCGAGAGGAGCCCGGTATCTGTAGTGTAGGCGCCTTAACGATTAAAATGGTGTCTTTATTTTTTTGGTGGGGTATACAACACTACAAAAATCAAAAGGAACCCCCAAACTAGTATAGGTAATTATGTTTAAGCCTCTACTATCTGTAGTCGCTCTGACTCAAGGCCCCACTAATATGAAGTGTTTCTTTGGGAGGGCTCTCTGGGCCCCGAGATGTCCAGGAAAGTATCTTAGATTAGGCGCTTAGGGAAGGCAAGAGTTACTGTCGGCTAAGTAGGGATGGCTTTGGCGGGGACTGGCTAAGGGGTTGCGGCATGGGAGCACGTTAAAACCTGTGCCATCTCTGCTGTCTCTATCTCTCTCTCTGTTTCCGTTGGGTAATAGGAGCAGGTTAAAGGTTATCTGATCGGATACGGCTACATGGGGTTTAAGGATTTTTCAGGGTCTGCGACATCAACCCCAAAAAGAAGCCTAAACCTCAAAGCCTGCGCCCAAAACAAGCCGGGCGCCTTTTGCTTGATCTCCTCCGCCCTTGCCAGTCGCATGGAATTCACCGTCGAGCTGATTGAGGCGATGAAGGAGGAGAAGACACCTGGGTGCTTGTCAAAATTAGGGTCCCTATTTGGGTCCTTATTATAATACGGCACTTATTCTTTAGGGTACCCCAAAAGGGACCATAATTTTGACAACTCCCCACCTGAAGAGAACTTAGGCATTCGGAGCCCTGGCCCTAAATCCTAAATCCTCTAAAGCCCACAGAAACCTTAACAACCAAAGCCCTACACCCGAAACCCTTAACCCTAAACCTCAAAAAGCCCTAAACCCTCAACCTCAAGAAACCCTAAACCCTCAACCCCAAACCCTTGACGAACCCTACACCCTGAACCCGCCGAAGCTTTGGGGTTAGACATAAGTCCAGGGCTCCCATCGCCAGGAGAATCACCCAAATCGCGAAGAAGCGCTCCCAAGGATTGTCCTGAGCTTTTTTTCTACGGGTTTAGGGTTTAGGGGTTTCGGGTTGTTTTAGGGGCTTTGCGGGGTATTGGTGTTTTCGGGTCGGGCTTAGGGGGTTTGGTTTAGGGCCTTTACGGTTTCACTTCACTACAAGTTCATGGTTGATTGGCCACCCAAATACAGGTCTACAGTCCCTAAACCCTATAAACCCTAAACCCTAAAACCCTAAACCCTAGCATGTTTCTACTCTTGGGTCGGGCGCTGAAGGGAACAGGGTTGACCCTTAGAGTGACACTAGTTCTGACCCTGTCTTTGCCGGACGGGGCGGTATCACCCTAAAGCCCTAAAAACCCTAAACCCTAAACCCTAAAAGTCTAAACCCTAAAGCCTAAACAACAGGTGCTTGGAGCCACAAGTAAGCCTTTGGGTTTGGGCTGTAACTTGTTCAGGGTTTTGAGCTTCACAGGTTACGCAATGAAGGACTTAGGGCCTGTAGGTGGTGTCTTGCCTTGATATAACATTAGAATAGAGTTTTGGGGCCCATGATACTATAACTTAATAAGGAGCTCAAAAATAGTGTAGGTAATTCTTTAGGCCCCTATATTAGGGGCGAATAGGGTTTTTGGTTATTCTTTACTATGCTTATGATAAAAACCTCCCCTTCCCTCCCCCACAAAAAAAACCGCAGTGGTAATTGTTTAGACCCCTGTAGTACGTTACGTGGGCTTCGGTTTTGTCGTTAAGCTTCAAGCTCTAAAACGTCCCTTCCGGGCCGGAGTGCAGTGCTCCATGTTGAACATGACCCTCATTCAGGGTCGTCGCGTGGTATCTTACGATGGGTTGGGGGAGAGGGTTTACTATCGACCCTATTAGCCCATACAAACCTCCGGAAACAAGGTACGACGGCCTCGATTCAGGACGTAGGCACGAATATGACATCCTCCACAGGCCAAACACTGTAGGGCTTAGGATTTATATTATGCAGTTCAGGCTTTGACGTTTCGGGCGCAGACCAAAAATTGAAAACTTCGGTGTCTGTGCCCGATCCCCTCCATGCAACAAACGACTCCTAACCGGAAGCTGCAAACCTCAATGACATTCCAAACCTCAGTGTCAGTAACCCTAAACGCCCCAAACCAGAAACACCCGCCCAAAGCGAACAAATCCAACCTTTACTGTGCAATGCCCGAGTCTGGTGCAATGTTGTTTGTGGACGGCGTGAACTGCGTCAGGGCCCAGTGCATGGCGCTTACCTCGAGAGGTCCAAAGAGAAACCTAATTTCTGGTCCAATGTCGGGGCCTTAACAATTAGAATAGGGTTTTGGTGCATGTTAGACTACAGCTCTAACAAGGAACCCCCCAAAATAGTACTGGTAACTAGTCAGGCCCTGGTATAAGGCTACGGCTACAGGCATTTCCCTAAAGTTTTTGTCCAACTCTTTGGTCTGAGGCTGTCGGATGGCGCACCATGCACGAGTCAGACAAACGTTCGGGCTCCAATTCGACGAATGACATATACATATACAGATACATATACAGATTCATATGCATATACAGATACATCTACATGTACACATACATACACATACATACATACATACCCATCTAGGGCAATGTACTTCTTAGGAACTGGGCAAGCAGAGGCCTACGGAACCCCATGGAACCCTGTGAAGCTTCTTGGGCCAGGTAGGGCTTGTGGCTTCGGATGTCGCGAACGCAAGGGAGGGTTTAGGGTTTAGGGGTTTAGGGGTTTGTGGTTTAGGGGCTTGGGGTTTAGAGTATTGGCTGTGATTGCCTTAATTACTGGATCAGCCCTACACCGTTACATTTTGAACATCCTGCACGGAATCAATCTTCCCTCACTTGCTGTTAACTTTCAACTATTTCTGCCCAAACTTCGCCCCGTTCCCTAAACCCTAATGTAGGGGCCTTAATAATTAGAATAGGGGTTGGGGGTCCTTTACAGCATACAATCGTAGTAAGGAACCCACACATCAGATAGGTAACTGTTAAGGCCCCTATATTAAACCCTAAACGCTAAGCCAGCTTGTAGCCAGGAAACGTAGGAGTCCAAGAAATTGGTCTCCCTGGGATTGCTTCATGTTCGGCTCCGAGGAGGGGATGGGGTTGGGAGTTTCCGAAAAATACGGGGGTGCCTTATTTTTGGGTCCTCATAATAGGGATCCTACTACGATCCTACTACGAAAGGGGATTATATTAAGGTAAGTTTGGGGTCCTGATGATTAGGGTACTATCTAAGGGTCCCCTGTTTTCTGAGGAAGCGCTATTCTCTGAATCTCCAAGTTAGTAATACTATTTTTTAGGGTTCCTGATTCTTGTGTTAAGCTGGAGTATACCCCCAAGCCCTAGTCGAATCATGAAGTCTGAGGAGCTGTTGTGATGTCCAAGGGCTTGCAATTCAGGGCTCTGCGGCAATCTAGGATGGAGGAAGCCGGGAATTAGTAAGAAAGGGGGAGATTGGATGTTGGAGTTGATGGTTTGAGGTCTGCAGACCTTGCAGCCGTGGTTTCTGCAACTCTATTTGGATCAGGGGCTGATGGGAGACCTTTTGGACCTACTGGTCCAGTATCATGGGGAACGGTCAAACTGCGGGATTATATAGGGTTATAATACCGCAAAAAGGTTGAAGGTTACCTGACCTACTCAAATACTAGGAGGATCTGTGATAGGGATCTTTACAAAACTCTCTGCTCCCGAGACAGGCATGCGGATTGACAGCTGCGCGCCCGGGGCTCTCGGCTTTGCTTTGCTCCCACGGATGGGCCCTGAATTAGGGTTTAGGGTTAAGGGTTTAGGGTTAATCGCGACTGAGCAACTCGATCTCCAGCCGCTGCATCCAGTTGCGCTCCCCGCTCCAGACGCCAATACCATACCAGCAGCACCTAGCGTGGTGTTCAGACCCCTCCTGTCGTTTCAACTCTTAGACTTGCCGTTGTTGAAGGCCTTGCAGACCTGTAGAGAACCCATCCCAAAAGCGCATGGCAGCAAGCTCGCAACTATACATACTTAGGCTGCCACTTAGGCTCGTTCCAGATTCACTGTGCCTACGCCTTAATCCCCGCTTGAATACGAAGCTTGCATGACGAAAGATGGCTTGGGGCACAGAAGGTGGGGCAAGTCATGATTTGGGGGTGGTCTGCATTCCCGTCGCAATAACATCCCTCACCTTCTCTTGCACGATGTATATGAACTACTTGACTAGTCTGGTGCAAGCTTGTGCCTTCCTTTCTCATCGAGGCTAAAATCGAATCCCGGCCGAAATACTAAACCCACAAGCCAAACCCCTACCACCCAAAATATACATCCCAATGGGTCTAAGCAGAACAAGCAGCGCTGTTACATGGTTGACGGCCAGGAGAAGAAGGAGATAGCCCATAACCTTCCTTGGAAGCATGCTCGAGGCCGTTGAGGCTTTAACTGATGGCTGTAGCCCTAAGCCCTAAACCCATAAATAAATCCGAAATAAATTGTAGCATGTGTCCGGTTTCTACATTCGTTTCATTTCCATTCAAAGTCTCGTCTTGTGTCTTGTGTAGATGCCAAGTGGCAGATCGAAGATCTTCTGCCGGAGGCAGACATGCTACTCAAGACTCGACCCTAAATCTTAACCCTAAACCCTGAATCCTAAACGTGCTTCGGAACCATATCATGGACCCCCACATAGCCCTGGTGCTGCGGCTTCCATTCTGGGCCCCTTTCGGTCTCGAGGAGGTCAGAGCTTCCAGCACTCGGCGCAGATTTTGGAGCTCAGTTCTCGGGTTCAGAACCGTCAACCTGCACCTAATATGGGCAGCTCTCTAAAATAGAGTCCCTTTTGGGGGGGCTTTTTTTAAAGGTGCCGTACTATAGTGGGGACCCTAAAAAGGGACCCTAATTCAGAGAACTGCCCGTGTCGTACCCTTATGAAAACCATATAGAAACCCTTATAGATCCCTCTAAGCGTGTGGTACCCTTATAAAAACCATATAGAAGCCCTTATAGATCCCTTGAAGCATGTAACACAACGAATTTGCCTCGACCTCTCACACCACACAGAGAGCCCGCTCCGCAGATACAATGCCGAATCCTTGAGGCAGCTATAGGTGCCTTAGCATGTAGGAGTGTAGGGTTTAGAGTTTAGGGTTTAGGGTGGTCTGCGATAATTAAGAAGAAACAGTAGGGAACCCGAAGGAACAGCATCTAAGTATGAGGGCCTCTACTACCGCTTCAGAAGTCGGTGCCTTGACTTGAAAAGGCCAAGCTGCATCACCATGAACGAGTAGGTGGATAAGAACCGATTCGCCTCATCTAGAGCGGCCATGACTCCGGAACCCGAAACCTACAGCCTAAACCCCTATAAACCATAAGCCATAATGTAGGGGCCTAAATAATTACCGATACTATTTTGGGGGTTCCTTATTATAAGTATAGCATAATGGGCCCCAAAACCGGCGCGCTCACGTAGGAGTTGGGATTAGGGGGACCCTTGGGGATATAGACTCTCTCAATAAGGTCCCATTTAAGAGAGCCATAAGTAGGGGTTAAGAAGGGTCCCCTTTAAGGGGTCTCCCTAATACTACCTAGGAGATTCTTCGCAACTTGGTCAGGGGTTGGTGTCGGCTGCCTCCGAGCGCCCGAGGACTACTCCGAAAATGCGCAGTGGAGCTTTTTGATTAAAAGCAAGGGTGTGGGGGATCAAGGTTTGGGCTCTTATTGATCAAATTCCCTGTGGATCTAGGGCCTAAGGGCTTAAGGTTTATAGGGTTTGGGGTTTGGCAGAGACCTCTTGGAGTTGGGACTTGCGAGAGCGAAGCAGGGCAACGCCCGATTTCTACGACCGTTTAGGGTTTAGGCGACGAGCTGCCAGCAGAGTCAGCGTCCGCTCCAGCCGCGCAACGCGGATAAGGCGCACGAGGCGGACCATCCGGAGGGCCCGGATGAGACGCGCCTGGATCCGGGTGTCTAGGATCGGGTTTAATTAGGGTTCGGCGCTTTAGGGCTTACGGCCTTCAGGCTTGGGGACTTTGCTTCCCATGAGAAGTCTGCACCGCGACATCTGGGACAACATATGGATCTGCCGCAAGACTTCTGCAAGACTCCTTCCGACCCTCATATTCCCGGATGTTACGAAAAGTCTTAAAGCTTCGACCAGCAACATGAAACCCCAACCCTCAAACCGCATGATATAGGGGCCTTAATAATTAGAATTGGGTTTTAGGGCCCATTATACTGTAATCATAATAAGGACCCCCCCCAAACAAAAAAAAAAAAGTATATTGCCCGCCCAGGCTCTAAACCGTCAAAACTCAATCAACCTCAAGCGCTACCACCCGCCACCCAAAACGAGTTGCAGTTCATCAGCAAAGGGCTCCACTTACATACGGGATCCTCACTCCCAGCTTCCTGTTCCCCCGCCGAACCCTAAAACCCAAACCCGAAACCCTAAAACCGAAACCCTAAACCCTAAACCGGAAACCCTACACCCCAAACCCTAAGCCTGCAACCCTGAACTCCCCTGATATCGGCGCAGTGACGGAGCGGAACATAGGGCTGGACACGCTGCCAGCCTGGAGCCTCGGCGTCTCAGTTCATGTAAAAGGAAACCACAGGTGTGGAGTATAGGGTTTAGGAGTTTAGGGTTTAGGGTTTAAAGGAAACTACAGGTGGGGAGTTTAGGGTATATAGGCCTTCTATAAGGCTCCTAGAAGGTATATAGACCTTCTATAAGGCTCCTATAACGGTAACTACCCACCTGAAATGTCCTTGTTCATGAGAGCGTACAAGGGCTTAAATGGGGTTATAAGGGCTGATATAACAAGGGTTTAGGGCTTATGATGAGAGCTTACAAGGGCTTAGATGAGGTTGGGGTTTAGTGGCTTAGGGCTTGAATGGGATTGTAAGGGCTGATACAATAAGGTTTTAGGTTTCGGGTTTAGGGATCATCGCTACTACAAAAACCCCTGAACTTAAAAACCCCCAAAGCCTAAACCCTACACAGTATGGCCCTAAACTCCCGACCCCCGAACCCTAAACCCTTTAGAAGTCCTTTCGAGCATCTCTGTCTTCGTCTCCGGAGATGGCAAACAAATCGACCCTGAACCCTTGGACGAGGTGCATGCGACAAGCTCCCTTCTAATGCATATGCATCACCAAACCCTAGAGCACAGTAGCTGTCTTCAAGCACGTGAAATAAATAATATAGGGCCTTAATAATTAGAATAGGGTTTTGGGGCCCATAATATATGAAGGAACACCCAAAATAGTTTTGTTAATTATTTTGGCCCCTCTATTAGCATCTGTCTACGACGCTTTGGAGAAGTTTCTGAGCCCTTCATCATGGGGGGGAGACCTTGTAGAGCTCACTGGGCTATTCTCTTTACGTAGAACACAAAAGACTTAAACCGTCCCGAACCCCTCGTAAATCCCCAACCCGTAGGCTTCCCTCGAACACGATCTTGAGCTTAAACCGTAAGCCCCAAACTCTTCACCCTCAACCTGCTTTAGCCTTGCTGTCTTTTCTCCGCAGCTGTAACGGCAGGGACGAGCATTGAACCTTGTCGTGGCTGCTGTATGCATTTGTGAGCAGGACCTGGCACCTGCACTCCAAATGCTGGAAGCAAGAACTAGGCCGCTGTGAACCTGGGGAACTGCCCTTACAGCCCAACAAAAACCACGGGAACCAAAGGAAGTTCGGCCTAGCAGCCCATCCAGCGCAATAACCATCGCGTCAATGGCCACGACGACGAAGTCGACCACGAACCTAGGAGGAGGAAGGATTTGCAAAGGTTCAGAGGTGTAGGGTTTAGGTTTAGGGGTTTAGGGTTTAGGGTTTATGGTTTAGGTTTAGGGGTTTAGGGTTTAGGGTTTATGGTTTTTGGTTAGGGGTTTTGGGTTTAGGGTTCAGGGGTTTTGGGTTTAGGTTTTAGCGAGAGTTCTCTTACGGCTACTATAAGGGTGACGGGGATGGCTGCCCTAGACGCCTGAATCCCCCAGGGTGCAGCCACCTTTATAGTAGCAGGGCGCAGCCTTGTCAGAGACGCGGCTTGGGGATTAGGGTGTAGGAGGCTTATATAGGGTTTAGGGGTTCAGGGTTTAGGGTTTCGGCTGAGGGTTTAGGGTTTAGGGGTTTGCACTGGATGTCGGCGATGGCTCTGTAGCCACAGGGTCTGGCTCTGCCTTATCTTATACCTCTTCAGCGTTGGCTGCATTGCCATTAAGAGTGGTGCCATTCTGGCGTTTCAGGTCTTTCGGATTTAGGATGTTGAAGTCATTACAAATCATTCCTAAATCCTAAGTCCTAGGTTTCGTGGCTGATGCCAAAGGAGCCGGTCGAAAGCGAGGAATCCCCACAAACATGAGGCTAAGTTTCCCCCGCTCACTTGGACCACTTACAAACCTGATCTACCTGATTTCAAGGCAATTTACTCTTAACACCCCCTAAACCCTAAACCCCTAAACCCCTAAACCCTGGACCCCTAAACCCCTAAACCCCCATCGCCTAAACCCTAAGCCCTAAGCCCTAAACCCTCATTCCTCCATATCAAAGGCTGACACGGCACCAGGAGCGGAGGTATAAGGACCAAAGCACCGAAGGCCTGCCGCGGATTTCTTTGCAACCTATGCTTCATAGGTTGGGCCCTGGAGCCCTCTCCGGCCCACCCCCAAATCAGTAGTTGGGTTTAGGGTTTAGGGGTTTAGGGTTTGGGGTTTAAGGGGTTTAGGGGTTTAGGGGTTTAGGGGTTTACGGGTTGAGGGGCTTGGGGTTTGGGGTTTAGGGCTAGGGGCTTACGGGTTTAGTTGGTTATTCGATGGTTGCGCGCTGTGCTTACCAAGCCCGACTGGCCCTTAGCAATTTTGGCCAGCCCCGCAAAGCCTAAGCAAACACCGAGAGCAGTCTGAGGGCGGGTCCAGTAGAGCCTATTCTATGAGTAATGTAGGCGCCTGTATAGTTAGAATACAGTATGGTACGCCCTGGCGGCGTGTATTTTCGTACAAGTGCTTTGCTGTTTGTGGAGTAGTTCTTAGTATAGACTTTTGACAGAAGGTACCATGTAGGAGGTGTGTGTACGTATTAATCGTGTTGTATCCTATGCTAGTTTCAGTGTTCATTGTTAGCTAAAAATATTCCTTAGGTTACTAACTAAAGGGAAGGGAGCGTGGGCAGAGAGGGGGTGGGAGGGGGGCGGCCCAAAAAATAATAATAATAATAGTAAAAAAAAAAATATATATATATAT